GAGTTTTTGCATCACTGACAGATGGAGAATGTAAGGTGTACGGAGTAAAAAAAAAAATAATAGAGAGAGGAATTGTGAGGAGCGGGGGAGAAGATCGGTAACACGGGAAAGGAGAAGAGAAAATCGCCTTATCAAGACTTAACTCTACGCAAAATTATAATATTCAATAACATTAACTTATATTTAAGAAAATATAGTTTTTTTGGTTTCAATTAATACGTCAAAAATTACAAATGTCTCTTGGGAGGTCGGCCAGAGTTAGGAAAAAGAGTTTTAAACTCTTTATTTTCCACCCGTCTATAGCCTGAGGACGCTTGGAAATAAGGCGCGTTTTCACTCCAGTGTTGCCAACGTTTCACCGACTTTTTTGTCTATTTGTTATTTTTAACCTTATTTACTCGCACAGATATAGTTTTCTATATACATATATATATATAACATGCATTCATTTTTTATTACTCGTTACCTGTGTGTGAATAACTGGCCATTAGGGAGATTTAAATAGTTGCATAATTCAGTAATTGGTACCTACTTAAAATGTGTTTACCAATAGCGTGAATTCGCACACTCCCAACTAGATATTTAAAAAAAAAAGCATTTACGTTTAATTTTAGCTATTACCAATGGCTCTGGTATATTGTATATATATAGGCTGTGTTTAATGAGTTCATGGCATTATTTTAAGCTATGGTTTTGTTAGTAGAAACTTGATATATTGAAGGATTAGAGCTTGGATGAGAGGCGAAATAGTGTTGACCACACCGGGGGCCCGACGTTTCTTAGAGAGAGGAGGTGCTGCCCAGCGCTTAGGGTAAATGGTCTCAGGGAATGGTTTCCTCTTTTTTTTTGTACCCTGAGAGGACGGGCTGAGAGGGATCCCCCTTAGATTAGGTTAATAATGCAGCCTTGGAACGTGAGGAGATTCTAATTCCTTCTCGGTGAGGGTTGGATACTCCACCAGTCCGTCCTCCTACGGTTTGCTACGTCAAGAAAGTGTCGTTCTAATAGTCCCCACGTGGCGTAGTGGTAAAGCACTCGTCCGGCGCTTCGCGAACTCTTTGGCCTGGGTTCGTATCCTGGCCGGGAGAGGATTGACCGGGTGCCAATCCTCAGCTGTAGCCTCTGTTCACCCAGCAGTGAATAGGTGAACAGGGAAAAAAAAATAAATTAAGGACTTGCCCGAAACGTTATGCGTGCTAGTGGCTTTACAAGAATGTAATAACTTTTGTATATATATAAAATAGTGCCCCTTATCCTAACCTACCAGAGGAGCCAAAACAGAAAACCGGGATATTATGTCAATTTCGCGAATCGCTACCATTTTCTAGTACGACGATTTTTGGCCTTAAATATACGTCAAAATGTGACGCTCTATTAGGACAGAGCGCCTGGGCTCTTTAGCTCAAGAGGGCTATGGTTGATAGGCCAAATATTCCCGTTGTTGTTATAGATTCAGCTACTTGGAACAAGTTCTAAGTAGCACGGGCTATGGTGAGCCCGTAGTGGACTTAACTGTCACAGGAGCGGTGTAAATATTCTCATTTCTTGCCTAATTTATTCCTTAGTCCAGGGTATACATATTTCAGTATGTACATATCCCAGGGTATACATATCCTAGGGTATACATTTGAGTTTGTACATATTCCATAGTATATATTCCAGGATATATATACATATTCCAGCCTATTCATATTCTTGTTTTAATTTTTTGTAATACAAAATTGACAAACGTTAACAAACTGCCTGTAGTGACTGTTAACGCTGAACCACCCCGTAAATCACCTTCGTTACCAGAGTTCGTAAATCTTTCGCTTAATTTGCAAGTTAACTCACCTGGTTTCACTTTGCATTCCATTGCGTTGCATTTGTCCACGTTTTATTAAATTCGCTGTTGTTCCATACAGTTACTGTCTATATAAAGAGTATGACGGTTTAAACACGGCCAGCACACATATTCATATGTATTTCTTCTGTAAATTCTATGTCCAATGAGAGAGGGAGCTATCAGGGAGAAAGCGCCAAAACCATTACGACTATATAGCACTGGGGAAGGGGGTCAGGATAAGGATTTGGGATGGGACGGAGGGAAAGGAATGGTGCCCAATCACTTGGACGGTCGGGCATTGAACTCCGACCTGCATGAAGCGAAACCGTCCAGCCCAAGCATGTCCAATGAACATAAATACATCTTTGTTTACACGCGTTCGCGGGAGTGGCTGAACTATGCAAGGGAAGTTGTGGTTCGCGGGAGCCTACAGTACAGGTAATTACTAACTACCCGACCCGTTGAGTGGTTAGACACGGGGCAGTAATGGAACCTTTCCGCAAACAATCGACCTCGTAAACAATGGTCAAAATGTTCGTTATAACAGCCGTCAAACCCATTTGTTTGTTAATAAAAAAAAAAGTTTACGTGTGACTCGACTGATTGCGTTCGAAACTTTTATCGAACAGCGCTCCGTTCACGGCCTCTGTTCGAATTGCACCTCCAAATGCTTCATTAACCTGTAAATAAAAATGATTTCCAACAGAACTAGAACGCCTAATTTAACCAATCGTAGCCTTAACGATCATAAAATTACATAGTAATTATTATTACAAAAATTGCATTACATTATTAATGATTATAGGTATACATTACAAATTTTTTTATCATGCTGAAATTTATGAATGAGTCATTGGGGTCGGCCACGGCTTGGGCGAACTTAGGCTAAGTCAGGGCCTGATATCCACCAAGTTTTCATATCACTATACAATCCTCAACTCAGTTAATTAACTCTGGAGCTCATGAGTACAAAAGGATTGTTGACAATCGTCCACATGAATCCTATTTAATGTGACGAGAGAATGTTGGTCATATCACAAGAAGGTAAAATTAACTTTTTCTAAAAATATAAATGTATATTTTATATTAGAATTGGTTGTATAGTTAGGACTAAATTAGGCTACATTAGGTGTTTAGATTCTGTTAGCAATTATGTGTTTACGTGGGGTAAAGTATTCACAAAGGTGGGATTCGAACTGATTCGAAGTTGTTCAAAGCACTGATTTAAAAATAAATAAAGAGCTCGAATGGCATTAGTTGTGAGTCGTGTGTCAATTGTTTTTAATTATCGGATTTATTTATTAAGACGGGGAGGTGGGAAGGGGAAATTATCAGGGGGAAAGCGCCAAGCTATTAGGATTATATAGCACAGGAATTACGCAAGTTGGATCGCTCCTGTGCCAGGTAAGTCCACTACGGGCTCACCATAGCCCGTGTTAATTGCCCCGCTCCTGTGCCAGGTAAGTTACGGGCTCACCATAGCCCGTGCTACTTGGAACTTGTTTCGAGTAGCTGAATCTATAACAACAACAGCAAGTTGGATTACGGACTCACCATAGCCCGTGCTACTTGGAACTTGTTTCGAGTAGCTGAATCTATAACAACAGCAAGTTGGATTACGGGCTCACCATAGCCCGTGCTACATGGACACTTCGTCTTGAGTAGTTAAATCTGAAACAACAGGAAATTGGGCAGTTGTTGAGGAGTGTCGGCCGCAGGAGGACGGGGCGCCTTAAGACCCCAACGGATCAATCTCTAAAAGGGACAAAGTGCTTCAATTAGTTTCAATGTCTGTCTGCTAACTTGTGGAAGTGGCAAAGTAAATTCCATTTGCGTCCTGTGGCGGGAAGTTGTGCTGAGGGTGTCAGATATTTCCTCGTGTTTTTAGCAGGTTTGACCTGTTGCCAAGACAAGCGTCGAGGGTTGTTCTCAGCTTGGCTACGTATACCTGGGGCCAGATTCACGAAGCAGTTACTCAAGCACTTATGAACCTGTCCATCTTTTCTCAATCTTTGGCGGCGTTGTTTGCAATTATTAAATAGTTAATGAGCTCTGAAGCACCAGGATGTTGTTTATAACAATAACAACAGTTTATTGGGAAGTTTTCATGCGTGTAAACTGTTTAATAATTGTAAACAAAGCCGGCAAAGATCGAGGAAAGATGTTCACGTTCGTAAGTACTTGCGTAAATGCTTCGTGAATCTGGCCCCAGGACCGGAGTTCTGTTCATTTGGTGAACGTTAAATTCTCGAACCAAAAATGTGTCGTCATCTGTCTCAAGAGTTTAAGGTTTATAAAACATTTTGAGCAACCACCTACGAAACCTGTGCATCTTTCCTTAATCATGGCGGCTTTGTTTATAGTTATTAAACGATATATGAACGCCTTAGCACTACGAGTTGTTTATAGTAATAATCTCTGGATTGCGAAGTTTCGAAGCTCGTATAAACCGTTTTAATAAAATGTAATTAAAACCACCGTGATTCAGGAAAAGATGTACATGTTTCGTAAGTGTTTATGTAATTGTTGAACTCTGGGCCTGAAGTTTCAGTTGAGACAACACTCTCTCTCGTTTAGAGATGCACATTCCTTGTCCAAACACCGGTGAGATGGGAAGGTGTTTGGTGTTGATAGTGTAGTGTTGATGGGAACTTTGTGGAGACTTGTGAAAGGGAAATGAATGTTTTCTGGGAAGGTTAAAAAACACACATGTTTTGTTTAGGGTGTAAGTAAATACAAAAAATACGGAATTTAAAAGTATATATATGCTCCTAAAGACAAATTTTGTACGAGGATATATGTAATTGTTTGATACAGCTGTGTTGCTTCTCTCTCACTTCCCTCTTCTCGCCCTCCCTACATCTCTCCTTTCCCCCTTTTCCCTTCCTTCTGAACTCCCCCTTTCCCCACTTCCCTCCCCTCAGAACTCCCCCTTTCTCCACTTCCCTCCCCTCAGAACTCCCCCTTTCCCCACTTCCCTCCCCTCAGAACTCCCCCTTTCCCCACTTCCCTCCCCTCAGAACTCCCCCTTTCCCTCCCCTCAGAACTCCCCCTTTCCCTTCCCTCAGAACTCCCCCTTTCCCTCCCCTCAGAACTCCCCCTCTCCCCCCACTCACACACACCCATCAGGTTTAACTCGAGTCTAACATCTTTACCATTTTCTCTTGTCCCACAGTCTCGGCGACACAGAGACGCTACGCCATATATTGACGACGACTCCCATCAACTATGGTCGTCCGAGACGGCTGACCTCATGGAGGGCGAACAGGTCGACGCCCACCTCCTCGAACACCATGGTGAGTTGGTCGACAGTTGTTCTGGTGAGTTGGTCGACAGTCGTCGTTCTGGTGAGTTGGTCGACAGTTGTTCTGGTGAGTTGGTCGACAGTCTTCGTTCTGGTGAGTTGGTCGACAGTCTTCGTTCTGGTGAGTTGGTCGACAGTCGTTCTGGTGAGTTGGTCGACAGTCGTTCTGGTGAGTTGGTCGACAGTCGTTCTGGTGAGTTGGTCGACAGTGGAGTGTCATGTTAAATTCACATAGATCTCTTATTTAATTTAGTGTCAGATTCCTGCCTGGTTAGGGGGTCGATGAGGGCTGAGAGCGCAGTGGGTAGAGTGACTCAGGTAGTCAAGCGAGTCGAGAGGTATAGTTAAAGATACAGGGTGAAGAGTAAATGGGTTTTACTTCTGGGTTAATGTGTAGGTATTTTGTTGGATGGGGTTAGGGTGGCATGCAAGTGGTGCTCAGAGGAAGGGTGTGGATTGAAAGCATGGTATAAAATTGGGGTGAAGAATAGGGAAGGTAGGTAGGTGATCCAGGCCCCCAGCTCATTTTGTGATCAGCTTTGGGTTAGGGGGGTATGAAGGTAGGGGACATGTGTTGCATATTCCCTCCTTATCATTTCCTTGCATCTCTATTTTACCTCTATGGCATCAACTTTATCAACCTTTGTCGTATTTCTGGTGTATTTTGAAGTTCTTTGTTCCGTTGGTTTATATTTGATTGTCTCATAAACACTACCTTTACTAGCCAGTTTTGTTCCATTCTGTACTGACCTAGCCTGGAAACCTCTACATTTCCCTCCTTGCATCTTGCATATGCATTCCTTGTCAGGATCATTGTCAGCATCTCTGACTCTCCATTCACCTTTTATGGAGGGTTCTCCTGATCGTTCCTTCAGACCTTAAACCACTGTTGTTTTTCTGCTACCTGGAAAGTGGCTGCTTGTACTGTCTGCACTGTTTTCTGACATCTCCTTTTTCCTTAATATAGGTAAGTGAGTTTTGCCATAAAGTTCCATTCATTGTTTTGTTACTCGGACTTTCATCTCATGTGTCCTATTTGTGAAATTAGTTTGTCAGGTTATCCTTATTTACTGGCTGCCTGACGTCTGTTGCCTTTTGACGCTGTTTATGGGGTCAAGTTCTCTCTCTCTCTCTCTCTCTCTCTGTCTCTCTCTCTCTCTCTCTCTCTCTCTCTCTCTCTCTCTCTCTCTCTCTCTCTCTCTCTCTCTCTCTCTCTCTCTCTCTCTCTCTCTCTCTCTCTCTCTCTCTCCATCTTCCTCGTCACAGGCAAGGGAGATGGAGAGAGATAATTTTGGTTCAAAATTATCCTTTGGTCTAGTATAGCAGTGTGAGTTATCTGGTCTTACTTTCATTCAACACTACCATCCTCTGTCTGTGTTGATGAATGCTCTTGTACAGATGACCTTGTAAATGTGTATGTGTGTGTGTGTATGTGAATACTTGTTAGTATGTGTGTGTGTGGATGTTTGGGGATATTTGTGTGTGTGGATGTTTGGGGATATTTGTGTGTGTGAATGTTTACACATGTTTATGTGCGTGAGATAGTGCACGTGTGTGTTTGTTTGTGTGTGTGTGTGTGTGCACGTGTGGGTATTTGTTTTTGGAAAAAATAGTAAATTTTGTTAGCTTCTTTATTAGCCATTACTTTATTTCTTGCTCGTATATCTATGTTGATATGCATTTCCGGTACAATATTTATCATTTGTGTGAGAGGCCTCACAGAATGATTAGTAAAACTGTAATGTGTGTGTTTGTATTTGTTTAAGATGTGCTAATTTGTTTATGTATTTAAGTTGTTTAGGAAGGAAGGCACAAAGTCGCCTAACCATCTCTGTATCAAACTCTAATAGTTAACACAAAATGCCTTTTCTTAGCACCAAACCTGAACACCTTCCTCCCACCTCTTCCTACCATATGAGTTCCTAATATTCCATAATACGTTTTTTAATAGTTTACACTTGACAAACCACTTGCATACGTCTTGACCTGAATCAGAGTCAACAGCTTTGCATTCGTTGTTTTTCGTCCAGAATGTTGTCTTCGTGGCGATCTTCGACTACTTAGGGAGGTCTTCTTTCCTTCCTTGCAAGGCAAGCAGCAGAATCTGCTGCTTTGTCTGCTTGTCCGGCTGCTTTGATGTGATCTACAGTTATGTGACCTCGTCGTCCAGTTTCTCCATAATATGGTCTATTTTAATGTAACCTATTTGAATTCTACCTTTGTCTTCCCAATTATCATTTAATTTCTTTAGCAGAGGTTATTTCAGGGACGATTTGGTTGAATATGCAGTGAGTAAAATGGCTTTCAGTTAACATTAAACTGGATTGCTCTATCAACTATATTGTTTGATTTGATTAAATTTGTTTTGCAGTGAGTAAAATGGCTTCCAGTTAACATTAAACTGGATTGCTCTATCAACTATATTGTTTGATTTGATTAAATTTGCTTGATTTGCAGTGAGTAAAATGACATTCTTTCCCCCTCATATTCCCCTCACCCCCTTGACAGACCCCTGCTTGGCACACTTCTGCGAACGAGGCCGGGTGTGCCGCCTTGACCACGTCAGCCAGCCGCAGTGTGAGTGCCAGCCCTTCTGCTCTAGGCACCGGAAGTTAGTGTGTGGCACTGACCAGCGCCTCTACCTCAACCATTGCGAGCTCCACCGCGCCGCCTGCGTCACCGGGGCCAAGATTCACATAGACAGGAGCCGCAAGTGCTTCAGAAAAGGTGAATGGATTCTGTGTGTCTAATCACATGTCTGACTCCTCATAAGGATGTGACTCTGTCTCCTGGGGTGCGGATACTTTAATGTTTATATGACGAATATCTATATGAATATCGGTATAAAGTGTGTTTTCATCTGTTGCACATTCCTTTGGTTCCAAAGTATTTTTCTCTCCGCTTCTTTTTGTACAGTATAGACAGGGCCTGAGGGCCAGATTTTGGCGGATAAGGCGCTCTGTGGTTTGTTAATTAGTTGGCTGTGGGCTATTATCTATCCGTTTTCTGTGTTTTGATATGTGTTTGTTCCATTTTCTTTACTTTGTCTATGGTTTTGATCTATTTTTGTATATTTTGTCTAGTGTTTGCTCCTTTTTCTATAGTTTGTCTAGTGTTTGATCCATTTTCTATACTTTTAGTGTTTCCCATTTTCTATACTTGTAGTGATTGATCCATTTTCTATACTTTTAGTGTTTCCCATTTTCTATACTTGTAGTGATTGATCCATTTTCTATACTTTGATCCGTTTTGTTATACTCCTAGTTAAACAAAAGTATTTAGGTTTAATTGATTGCACAATTAAACAAATAAAATCCTAACGTGTAATTAGCTTTGCTTGGATTGGTTTAGTTTGCTCCTTGTCAAGGATTGAAAAGCTGTTATAGGCTTATAGAGGTCTCCATAGGCCTCCCAATAGGCCTATCTCACCATATAACCCACAACTGGGTGCCTTAAAACATGCTTAGCCAAACACACACACACACACACACACACACACACACACACACACACACACACACACACACACACACAAAACTCTCAATGAAGTCAAATTGCTTTTATATAATTCAGATTTGTAACAAAATAGGAATTTTTACTGTTACTATTGCTGAAATTTTTTACAAATTTCGTTAATATATTTTTTTTTGGTCTGAAAGTGATGAAACGTACGAATATATTCTTTTGCGTTGCTTTATTTTTCTTAGTGATTATCTCTTGGTTGGTGTTGTTCTGTCTTGCATGGATTATTCTTTATGGCTTTTTAGTTTATTCTCCTTCAGTGTTTTAGCCCTTGCCTGCCTCTTTGGTCAAGACTGGTAACGAAGTAGGAAAAATCTAAGGAGGGAAGAGGAAGAGGGAAGAACCGATATCTTCTACCAAACATGTCATGGTTGGTGTCTTGAGGTGGCAAGACTTGTACGTTCAACCCGTTCTCGCTCTTGCTTTTAGTCAATATTGGTTTATTTAATAAGTGCATATGTGACATACTAATTGATTGTGAATATTTTAGTTTATCTTGAAAAGCTTCATAGAAAACACCGACTTCACCTAACCTTCTTAGTATGTTAAGATAAGCATCTTATTGCTTCTTAATTACAATTATTACTTAACCTATACCGTTGATAGGTTAAGTAATAATTGTAAATATGAAGCAATAAGATGCTTATCTTAACATACTAAGAAGGTTAGGTGAGGTCGGTGTTTTCTATGAAGCTTTTCAAGGTAAACTAAAATATTCACAATCAATTAGTATGTCACATATGCACTTATTAAATAAGCCAATATTGACTGTAAGAAAGTGCGAGAACGGGTTGGTACGTTACACAGTAGGGTTGGGCTCGGCTTGGTGCGGCTTTACTCCGGCTTGACGTGTAGTAAAACACAATTATAATATATACAACAAAGACATAGTCGGCCAGGACATGGTTGAGAGTAGTAACTGCTGTACTGGTTGTTCAGTAACAGTTACGTTCAGACAATTGAGACAAACACAGGTCGCCTCTCTGAGCTCACAACAGCAACAGACAAGTATGAATCTACATTTTGTGGAGTAATACAATCCATGTTAATATTTCTGAAAACCGTTGAAAACTATATTTATAAATTCCGAGGAAATGATAATGACTAAGGAATCCCTATAAGCCTGCTTAGAGGGGGGGCATCTTGTCGGCATATTTAGCATCTTTGGGACACTTTGCGACACAGGGCTGAGTGGTCATTCCGGGGAAATGCCTTCTTTAGATATATGAAGCATCTTGGGCTAATAAATTGGCCAGATGGTGGATCTCGCTCTGCTGGGTTATTTAGGGATATGGAATCCCTTATCAACTCATTTTTGTAGTAGCATTAAACACTTAATCGACGAAACGGAATTGGTTAAGTGAAAGCAATCGTGATTATAACCTACAATTACCATGTTAGGGAATAACTATAGCATGTTGACAAGACCACACACTAGAAGTTGAAGGGACGACGACGTTTCGACTTGAGAATGGTCCAGTACGGACCGAAACGTCGTCGTCCCTTCAACTTCTAGTGTGTGGTCTGGTCAACATACTTCAGCCACGTTATTGTGACTCATCGCCTGCATATGAATAACTATAGCAGTATAATAATAAAAATGTAAGAGATATCTGTTCCTGTTGCAAGCGAACACATATCGAGGATTTTGAGTCATTCGTTGACCGGACGAACTAACAATAATATAGTGTAACAATTTATATTGGCTGGCGCCAGGATGCAGGAAACTTTTATGTAGAGCTGCTATAATGACCTCGTGTTACTATAGAAGACAAATGTAGGATCAGGAGCTAATCTAGGATGCCCTCTTCTCCGGATACCCCTTCTCCTGATGCCCCTTCTGATGTCCCTTCTGATACCCCTTCTGATGTCCCTTCTGATACCCCTTCTCCTGATGCCCCTTCTCCTGATATCCCTTCTCCTGATATCCTTCTCCTGATATCCCTTCTCCTGATATCCCTTCTCCTGATACCCCTTCTCCTGATATCCCTTCTCCTGATCATTCTAACTAATCCAGACACCTTGCCTCTCCACCCACTGTAATTTATCACAACTGGAGATTACAAAAGACTTAGTACAAAGTATCATTTAATCCTGTCGTTAATTATCGTAGCCTCCGTAATCTTCAAATTAGGTAAATTACGCTAGACAGTGACTAATGAACGATAACAACTGAGGAACATTAGTACGGAAGATTTTTTGGGGTTTTTGGAATGATTTGTGGCCACTAAAGAGAGGAAAAAGAGTTTTAACCTGTTTTACTCGTCAGTCTGGGAGCAGCGGAGTCTAATAGCCTGGTTGATCACACCTCCAACCAGAGACCGGGCCACGGGGACAGGGAGACAGCCGGTGTTCAGTCGCCCATTGTCTACCTGTGCAAGAATCTGTAGTAATAGAGCATAGCCGGAAAGGTAATGCCTAAAATTTATGGCCAGATACATTGACCAATTTAATTTTTTATTCATTTTGGTAATTAATATTCCGAGAGATGTTTGGACCTTTGGAGACTTTGGAGTTGTGGGTATTTGTAGTGTTTTGTGTTAAGTTTATGTTCTTCACGCTCTCTGTCTCTCTGTCTGTCTGTCTCTCTCTCTCTCTCTCTCTCTCTCTCTCTCTCTCTCTCTCTCTCTCTCTCTCTCTCTCTCTCTCTCTCTCTCTCTCTCTCTAAGGCTTACGGGCTCACCATAGCCCGTGCTACTTGGAATTTTACATCCAGGTAGAGAATCTTTAACAACTCTCTCTCTCTCTCTCTCTCTCTCTCTCTCTCTCTCTCTCTCTCTCTCTCTCTCTCTCTCTCTCTCTCTCTCTCTCTCTATCTCCCTCTCCCTCCCTCTCACCCCACCCCGCCTCCTTCCCCCCCTTTACTGCCGGGGGGGGGGGGTCACGTGACCTAAAGCGGGACAGCAACTCGGTACCAGTTGTGAGAAACGACCCGAGTCGTAACCAGAGACTATACGCACTTACGACCACAAAAAAAACGCACTTAAGAACGCACTTAAGTTACTAAGCACGTGTTGGGGGCAAAATAATCCTTTAACTAACACAAATGACGCGCCAACGGCTCAAAATTGCATCATTGTTAAGGGTGTGCGGGTTCGATACCCTTATTGTGAATCTGTAGAGTAGGTATAATAGGAGGCAAGGTGATCGGAATGTATTGTATCAGAAGACTGATTTGTAAAAGACGGGGGACCGGGAGCTGAATCTCAGTCAACTGAAATGTGGCCAAGTAAGAACAGGGAATTGTGGCCTCCGCCAGGTGAGGAACAAGAGGTCGTGTTCTTGACTGGGTAAGAACAAGGTGGCCAGAGAACCCATGATTACCCTTCTCATACATACACACCACCACCACCCCAGCACCACCACCACAGCACCACCACAGCACCACCACCCCAGCACCACCCCAGGACCACCAGCACCACCCCAGGACCACCAGCACCACCCCAGGACCACCTCCCGGCAGTAACTAACACTCACCGCCACACATTAAGTCAGCTTGGGCCGCCTGGACGCCCGCTCTAACCTGGAGTGACGGTAATAAACACCTCTAGTGAGTCGTAACGCCGGATCACCTGGTTCTGATGAAGTGCTGGTGCTGGGGAGACGTCCCGGGGAGGCTGGGGTGTCGCTGAGACCTGCCAGGGGGGCTGGGGTGTCGCTGAGACCTGCCAGGGGGGCTGAGGTGTCGCTGAGACCTGCCAGGGAGGCTGAGGTGTCGCTGAGACCTGCCAGGGGGGCTGAGGTGTCGCTGAGACCTGCCAGGGGGGCTGAGGTGTCGCTGAGACCTGCCAGGGAGGCTGGGGTGTCGCTGAGACCTGCCAGGGGGGCTGGGGTGTCGCTGAGACCTGCCACGGGGGCTGGGGTGTCGCTGAGACCTGCCAAGGAGGCTGAGGTGTCGCGGTCTGGTATTCTTCGACGGGTCTGAAGAAATAGTAGCATTGTCGTTCTTTAAAGAAGGGCGGAAGATGATGTGTGGAAGCTGTGATTATTGTCGTATCTAGATACGATAACAATCACACCCACCGACGATCGTAGGAGGCTGTGTTTATTCGGGACTCGACACCAGTATGCTCGAATTCATCTGGATGTTGATTACAACTGTTTGATGGTCCTCCATTGTTTCAGAGGGAAGATGTAAGACCTGGCGGACAGCTAGAAGCCGGAGTCAGGTAACATGCACCTCACTCCCTACCCTTCCCCGCTCCCTACGATTAAGGGGGTTCGGTGAATCGTAGAATGAGGTGTACCCCACACTTTGTAAATGTTTAAAATGTCTCCTTGTTAGCTTTACGGGTTATTCATGACCATGCCACCTCTTGGGTGGCTTAATCTGCATCAGTCTTTGTAAGGTCAGTATACCTGAGTCAGTTCAAAAGTGCACTCCTGAAGATGTCACATTCTGACGAAACGTCGAACAGTATAAATGAAAAGAGATTATATATATATATATATATATATATATATATATATATATATATATATATATATATATATATATATATATATATATATATATATATATATATGTCGTACCTAGTAGCCAGAACGCACTTCTCAGCCTACTATGCGAGGCCCGATTTGCCTAATAAGCCAAGTTTTACTGAATTAATATATTTTCTCTAATTTTTTTCTTATGAAATGATAAAGCTACCCATTTCATTATGTATGAGGTCAGTTTTTTTTATTGGAGTTAAAATTAACGTAGATATATGACCGAACCTAACCAACCCTACCTAACCTAACCTATCTTTATAGGTTAGGTTAGGTTAGGTAGCCGAAAACGTTAGGTTAGGTTAGGTAGGTTAGGTTGTCGAAAAAACATTAATTCATGAAAACTAGGCTTATTAGGCAAATCGGGCCTTGCATAGTAGGCTGAGAAGTGAGTTCTGGCTACTAGGTACGACATATATATATATATATATATATATATATATATATATATATATATATATATATATATATAATATAATTATTATTATATTCTCTATCCTCGCTATTTCCTATTGATCGCCGCCCTAAGTAATTTTCCAATTAAGAATTATGTTTCATCAACGTGTTTCTGTGGGAGCTTCAGGTAAAAAAGAAAATGATTTTATGACGTTGCAATAACAATTTTTTGTTGCGTCCAATTTTTGGAACTTGGGTTTAATGCATTAGGAATTTTTAGCGTGGCAAGTTTCGTGTGGGTGTTTGGCCGGCTATGTCTTCCTGGTGGTGGTGGGGGAGGGAGGAGGGGGCGTGTCATTACTGGTGTGGGTCGTGTAGAGAACGTGTTTGTGTAGCTTTTATTGGCGCTCTGGTTGTCAATGTGTTGATATTTATCTGCTGTCTGTCTGTCCCTGTCTCTTCACATGACGAAGACCCCTCACCATTGGAGTGTGTTACAGGTCTGATGCCCATCACTTGGGATAACACGCCCACGCCCGCCACGCCTGCTCCGCCCCCCGAGGAGGAGGAAGAGGAGAAAGAGGCCCAGGCCCTCAGAGAACTCAACTCCCTCATCCGTGACGACCTCACTCAGGTTAGAACCTCGCTTGAAGCTCTTGACGAAGTCCCTCGTCATCAGCTTCGAAGTCGGCTCTTGGCTAACTTCGAAGACAGCGCTTCTGACTTCGAAGACAGCGCTTGGCTAACTTCGAAGACAGCGCTTCTGACTTCGAAGTCAGCGCTTCGGTCAACAATATCACTCATATCAAAACTGTAATAGGGGGAATTAGACATGTTTTGAGTTAATTTTGAAGGTGAGATAATGAGCAGAAATCGTTAACTGTATAATAGGAAATAGTGGTAAGAGTATGGTGTGAAGGAAAGGTGCCCAGTCTCATGGTCTATCGGGAATCGAACGCCGGCCCTGCATGAACCCAGACCTGCTCTAACCCGCCAGTCAAGATGCCTGGAAGCACAAGATGAAAATGACTGAATATTTTTTTGTCCTTACAGGGTGGAGGAGCTGTGTTAACGACTCGATCTCCAGTTGAAGACGAGGAAGAAGAAGAAGATGAGGACGAGGAGGAGGACGAGGAAGGGTCCACCAATCTGGAGATGAACGACGAGAGTGACCACGACAATAAAATTCGTGGCGGCGGTGCGTGTTCCATTCAGCAATACGAGATACTCAAGGTAAGGTACCCTTTAGTACCAAGGTACCCTAGAAAGTACCGAGAAAGGGTACCAAGGTACCCTTTCTCGCTCTGTTAACTGTTATTGTCATTAGTCACACAAAACCTAGTTTGACGTCTCCACTGACACAAGTATAACTCCTTAATGTAACTACCCCTCCCTCCTCTTTCTCTCTCTCTCTCTCCTCTTCACCCTCCCCCCACAAATCATTAGCAATATATATAATTCTCCCCTTGTACACATTAGCACGGGTAGAATATCTCCACAATGTCAACAAGTAATTAACCCAAATTATGAAATAGATCGTCAATGGAAAAGTATCTCGCTCAATGCCAGTGTTTCCGCGAAAAACAAATAGACAAAACTAAAATTCACACGAACCCAGAGCTCTAAGACAAAGTACAATCTCTTGCAACACTGAGCGCAATGTATCAATCTGCAACATTGCCCAAAAGTTATCTTCCGGTTTTCAGGTATCAGCGTGCACAAGAGTTCCCTTCCCCTCGTTATACACGCTGGGGGGAGAGAGAACCAGTTTTTATTTCTCATTTCTGCTACACTGGGTTAAGTTAGGTTAGCTGTTGGGGACGCAATCGTCACCTCAAGTTGACGCAACCGTCACCTCGAGGAGGGGACGCAAGAGCTTGCAGAGACCTCCCGGGCGCGCTGTAGGGGACGCCGAAGTCGCCCAAGGGAAATCAGATGAAGGAGTCGACCGCTGTTCTTCGCGACTGATTGCGGCACTCGTCCGTATTGGTGTAAAGTGGACGTTAATGGCTGGACGTTACTGAGGCCGCTTTGGACTTGGGAAGTTGGTGCCGCGTGCAAGGAACAGTGGTGCAAGAAGATCGGGGGGGGGGGGGGTATAAGGTGTTGGAAAATTCAGGGGTGGTGATGTTACCTGATACTGTTCCTTCTTGCCAATCGACTTGCTACTCCTGGATGTTGTTGTCACTTGGGAATGCGCCGCGATGTTGCTGCCGTTTCATGATGTAACTGCCACACATCATGAAACTGGCGAGTTTCATGATGTAACTGCCACACATCATGAAACTGGCGAGTTTCATGATGTAACTGCCACACATCATGCAACTGGCGAGTTTCATGATGTAACTACCACACATCATGAAACTGGCGAGTTTCATCCTTTCCCACCGTCCCAAATCCTTATCCTGACACCCTTCCCAGTTCTGTATTGTCGTAAGGGCTTGGCACATTTCCCTGATAGTTCCTCCCCCCTTTCCCTCTTTCCTTCCCTCTCTCCCTCTCCCTCACAACATTATCCGCACGGCATTGTCCCCGGCAAGAAAAATGCGAGTCGAGAGATAAATTGTTTTATGCTCGTACATATGCAAGCAACAGGTGGCTAAAGCCCTTATCTCACGCGGTCCTGTGGGGGGGGGGATATGAGGGGGTTGTGAAGGGTTAGCATAAATAAATTGTTGAAAAATGTCTGCAGTTCACGCTATCACGATCCAATTATCGTATCCTTTGTCCTCCCCTCCCTCCAGAAATGCCCTTTCTCACCCACCCCCCTCCCATCTGTCCACAACACCCCCTCCCCCCCCCCATCTGTCCCCAACGCCCCCTGCCCCCCCACCATCTGTCCCCAACACCCCCTCCCCCCCTCCCCTCACCCACTCTCACGGCCAATGTGGTCGTGAGAAATTGATAGAAACTCTAAACTAGATTTGATTTAAGTTTGCAGTGCCACTGACCATCAGCGTAGCAGTGAAACTGGATTGCCTCCAATTTCCTCAACTCCCATGCTCAATCCACACCCCTTTCCCCTATTTCCTGTCAACTCTCTCCACCCGCTGCTCCACGCAATCCATTCCATGATGCAGCCACGCTCTATACTATCCATTTCCACCAACTGGTTATTCCCTCTCATCCAACAATGACAATTATACTCATTAATCATTCGCTGGGTTTACAAGACCAAGTCATCACCCAATAGTCCGTATTCTAAGTGTTCTTAATCCAGCTTTACTTACCAACCTCATCCCTCCCTGTTTATCCATATCCTGCTGTATTATCCCCGGGTATTAGTACTCATTATATCCACCTCTCAAGTACCCTTATCCTCCTCGTGTTCCCCTTTCATCATATTACACTTTGCCCATCCACACCCGTGCTTCGATAAGGAGCAAAGTGCAGTGCCTTAAGCCAAATTGATGTTCTGGTAAAAGAGCGAGTTCCCTTTCTCAAGTTATTTACACTGATGGCTCCCTGTACCAGTTCTATGGTGCAGCTGGAAGTGCAGGTGTTGTGATAGTGGGAGATGGTTCCCTGCTGTCCTTTGAGTGTGAAGTGAGTATAAACAACTGGGACTTCACTCTTGAAATGTAATTGTTTACAAGGTGTCATCCTTTCACTCGAACGAGTTAGCTTAGCTTACGGTTGCGTCAGGTTTGATCAAATTTTTGTTACTTTTATCTCTGTTACTTTGATTTTTTTTTATCTCTGTTACAAGCTTCTGTTACTGTTATCTGTTTAATATAAACGAACGATGGGGTTCAGTTCCTAAGCCCTACAACCCCATCCACCACCGCCCAGGGGATGGGTATGGAGTGTATAATAAATGACTAACCCATCCACACTATTGACCTCTAGTACCAGCCCATACACAGTACTTCCCCATGTACTCGTCACTACATCCCCCCCCATTACAAACCTCTACCCCCCCCCCCCCCACACACACTGGAGAGTTGATACACCAATTTATTTACACAACTGAACGACCAGACTACCAATTCTGGGACTATTTACATACAAGCGAGGTATTGAACACATGGATCGGACAACATAATGCCTGGCTCACACCAGTGCCTAGATCCAGAGTGAACGAGTGCCTACCAGTTCATGTAGGCACTATACGAGGGCCTACCTACCTACCTATAGGGAGGCCCAGAGACATATCAGCCCGTAGCAGCTATAACTCCCAGGTACCCATTAGGCGCTAGGTGAACAGGTGCATCAGATGAGAGAAACACGCACACTCGCATGAGTCTGCAGTGAGTAAGGGGGGATCGGGAAGGGCCCAAGAGCCACCACCACCCTGCATATTCGTACTCATCTCAGCCAAGTGTGCTTGGAAGAAAGTGGTGGGTGAGGGTGTATATAGATATCAAATTTGTTAACGTATAAATCAACGTCAAACCCTGGCTAGCTCGTTGCCTCGGTGTATATATATACATTGCCAAACTGGAGATTTGCAAGTGCTGAGGATGTAAAAAAGGTGTCGCCCCTCTAGCTATAGAGAGGGAGGTGTATATGGCTCAAACAATGCTGAAGTCTACATCAGAGAAGGGAGGGAGCAGGTGCAGGAGAGAGAGAAATGGATTAGTAGAAAGAAGGGGAGACCAACAACAGGAAGAGGAAGGGGGGAGGAAAGTCAGAGACACGCAGATTGCAAAGAGTGGATGAAAACAGAGAGGGAGACAGACGTATTGATAGTGATATATATATATATATATATATATATATATATATATATATATATATATATATATATATATATATATATATATATATATATATATATGAAGGCTAAGGGAGGCAGGGGTAGAGAGGGGGCCTCCAAGAATGTAGAGAGATAGATAGAGAGAGAGAGAGGCACTAGCAGCAGCAGCATCGTTCATCTCATCAATACAATCCGCTCAAACTGCTGGGCAGAAATATACTTATATACAAACAGACCAGCCTTAACTAAACACCAAAACACACACACACACACACACAAGACCAGGGGAAAGTATATGAACATACAAAACCCGAAGAAAAATCACCCGTAACAATATACAACCGATATTAAAAATAAAAAAAAAATAATGTATATAAAAACATTTTTTTTTTAAATTTTCCAGTAGTTCTTACGCTGCCATATTTAAGTTTAAGGCGGGACCTTGGGCCCTTATCTTCGACTACCAGTAAATTGAATTTTTTTATATCCTTCCGCCATATATATATATATATATATATATATATATATATATATATATATATATATATATATATATATACCTAGTATATAACTATATATGCGGAAAAATCCACAGAGAAATATGAAATGAGGTAAACGTTTCGGCTTGTTAAAGCCTTTGTCAACACCAGACTGACTCAAACTGCCTGTTTCAGTCAGTCTGGTGTTGGCTTTAACAAGCCGAAACGTTCACCTCATTTCATATTTCTCTGTGGATTTTCCGCATAAAATGATCAGTGTTTTGTGATCGTCAATTGGCATTATAGGCCTTGCATATATGAGAAGTATTCTGGCTACTATATATATATATATATATATATATATATATATATATATATATAATATTACACTATTCTGTATGCTATGTATGATTTTAAGTGTGTGTGTGTATATAAACAAATCCACAGGAGCCGTGATGTGGGTTCGAACTTATGCGCCGGGTGTTCCTAGACTCGCTCTAGTTCACTGCGTCACGATATGGTCAAAAGAATTGCAACCTGGAGTCCTACTGAACCCACTAGGATCCCTGAGGCTTGAAGCCGAATTAGGGTTTCACGCAATTCCTCTATGCATTTGGGCTCTGTTCGTCCCCTAAACGTAGTATAGAGCTCTTGAAGCTCTATAAGCTATAATAGAGCTCTTGTTCCTCGTCTTACGGGATATTCATGCCCGTGCCACCTCTTGGGTGGCTTGATCTTCATCGATCAATCTACATGCTGTATAGAGCTCTGGCTCCTCTACGTGTTATATAGAGTGCTCTTGCGGTTCTACACGTTATATAGAGCTCTTGCTCTTTTGCACGCTACATTATCTCAGGTGGACGAGGAGATGAAAGTCTGTGTTGCTGATATAAATGACTTTGCAAAGAGTGAAGAGAGGCCTTGGTCTTGCTCTCTCTCTCTTGCTCTATATCGCTCTCTTGCTCTATATCGCTCTCTTGCTCTATATCGCTCTCTTGCTCTCTCTCGCTCTCTTGCTCTATATCGCTCTCTTACTCTCTCTCGCTTTCTTGCGC